TTCCTTTGTTGAGCCCTCCCCGCACCCAGTGTGTAGATGCAGGCATCTGCCATATTTGAGTCTTTATCAACCTGGCTAATACCGGTATCCCTGCCCTGTTGATTCCCTGAATCCCTCCGCACCCAACTTCCAGGTCCACCCAAGTCACTTCCAAATGGCCTGTCTTGGCTCATGCTGCAGACTTTCCTAAAATCTTTCAAAGATTCACAAAGCCCAGACAAGCCGCATCTGGCCTTGGTGTGCTCCGTACCTCTTGCTAAGCATCCCCAAGCGCAGCACTAGCAGCAACCAGCCTCAGTTTGCAACTTAGCCTCTCCCAGGCACCTGCAAGCCCAGCACAAGTGGCAACCATCTGCAGATCATACCACAAGGAGGGAATCTTTAAAGCAGCAAGAGAAAAACAGTTAGTTACCTACAATTACTTTAAATGTAAACGGATTACATGCTCCAATTAAAAGACATAGGGTGGCTGAATGGATAAGAAAATAAAACCCTTACACATGCTGAAGAGACTCATATAAGATCAAAAGACACATAGACTGAAAGTAAAGGGGATGGAAAAAGATATTTCATGAAAATGGAGTGTGGGGAGCTGAAGTAGCAATACTTATATCAGACAAAATAGACTTTAAAACAAAGGCTATAACAAGAGACTAGAAGGTCCCAGTAATCCCACTTCAGGGTATTTATCCAAAGAAACCCAAAGCACTACTTTGAAGGGATATGTGCATCCATATGTTCATTGCAGCATTGTTTACAATGGCCAAGATGTGAAGGCAGCCTGGGTGTCCAACAATGGATGAATGGATAAAGAGGAGGTGATACATATATACAATGGAATATTACTCAGCCATAAAAAAGAACAAAATTTTGTCATCTGCAATAACAAGAATGGACCTAGAGGGTATTGTGCTGAGTGGAGTTAAATCAGACAGAGAAAGACAAATGTCACATGATTTCACTTATATGTGGAATCTAGAGAACAGAATAAACAAACAAACAAAAGAGAAACAAACTCATAGATACAGAGAGCATTTTGATGGTTGCTGGATTGGGGGGAGGGTGTTGAAGGATGGGTGAAGAGATGAAGGGATGAAGAGGTATAAATTGGTAGTTACAAAATAGTCATGGGAATGTAGAATATAGCATGGGGTATATAGTCAGTAGCATTGTAATAACTGTGTGGTGTTCAGATGGATACTGGATTTATCAGGGTGATCACTTTGTAAGTTATATAAATGTNCAGAGCAAGTCCCGGATTTTTTTTACAAGAGCCTCGCTATTCTCGGCCATCCCCCGACCCAAGCTGACTGACCTGCTCCCCACTGGCCAAGATGACCTGGCTGTACCATAGCATCCAACCCCATGTGTTCATTCTTTTCTCCCATTAGCCAGCGAGCTGCCCAGGCTAAGAAGATGGCACACTTTCATGTAGACACCTCCTAGAATTAAAATGACTTCAGGGATGCATGCAGGATCATTGAAGAAAACACCCAAAAGGCCAAAAGAAGCCTGCTTTATTGAATTTACAACGCAGAAAATATTTGTAGTTCCTTAGACATTTGCGCTGCTATAAAAATTATACTTTACGGTATAATTATTAATGGTTTGAAGAGAAATAAACAGGATAAGCGAAGTATGGCTGATACTATGAAAATGTAAACCATGTAAATCAAAATCATAAAATAATTATTCAATACGCAGAGGTCTACTTAATATACACATGAAATTTCTTACACACATATACAATAAAAGCCACAGAAAACCATCATTCTGAAGCCGATCACTGTACAAATATGAAAATAAATTTTTATCTTTAACCTCAATTTTTATCTTCAGCAAGAGGGTTGTGCAACTTGGCTTTATGCAAATCACAGTTAGTATTAAATAATCAAATGTCACAAATGTCATATAAAGCAGCAAGTGGAAAAAATAAATTATGAAAAGGCATGAGGCTAAAAGTTAATAGTAAAAAAATGTCTCTTTATCCAACATTCTTTTACACAATAAAATTAAAATATTATCCAATGTGTCCGGGTACATAAAAAAGGAGCATAATATAATTGTGACGTTTAAAAGCTCTCAAAGGAAAAAATGAAACAAATGAGTTGCTTGCATAGAACTATGCAATTCTATCAAATTAAGTCTAAGCTAAAAACATGAAATACAGTCATGCTCCACATAAGGATAGACCAAATACATGACAGGTTGTAATGGATTATTAGCAAAAAGTTTGTTTGCAATGTTGGAAGGAAAGGCTGGCCCCAACTAGGATGGATGTTGCATTTATTGCAGCTCTGGGTGGTTTAAATAGAGGGGGAGGCTCAGTATGCTGTCCCTCCAGAGGCTGGGCCTTGGAGTTGGGGAGGGAGTGAGAGGAACAGGCTGCGGAGGAGGGAAGCCTGCCCAGCCCCTCCACACTCACACACTCCTGCACACAGACTCACTTCCCTCCATTTCTCTTTCTCTTTCTTTCCTCCCAGACCAGACCAGACCAGAAAAGGTAAGTGTCCCTCTCCCTCTTCTTCTCTCCCCC